AAGGGGGGGGCCCTCCCCCCCCCCCCCCCAGTGCGCCTGAGCCACTCCCTCCTCTGCCCCTTTGGACGAGCCCTGTGGGGCAGGACAGGGCTCTGCTAGGGATGGTGCCAGGACACCTGGGACAGGAGGGCTCTGCATCCACCCTCACCTCTCCTGGCTTCACCGGGACTCTGCTGCCAGGCGTCAGCGCTCCTGCCTCCCTCCCCTCTGTCATTCTGGGTAGACTTAAGGTTTGCAGGTCGTTGCTTGTGGTCTCTGTAAACCACAGCATCTGCCAAGTAGCATCAGTAAAAATAACCACCCTATGCAGAAAACCTCTGTGTTGGAGTTTTTTCTTGGATTTACAAGGAGACGACGGGGGACTTAGAGTCCGACCTCGGTCTGGCGGTGTAAGTATGGAGGCTGAAGGCTACTCCCTGAGTGGAGGAAAGGCTTGTCACTTCCTGGGCTGTGAAACCACCAAGTGTATTTTCTTGGGGGAAAAGCAACCGTGTTTTGTAACCTTGTAAGGTACTTCCAGCGTTACGTGTGTCTAACAGCTCTCCTGCTATGCTAGGACCTTCCAGTTCATCGGGTTTCCCTTGGTTACAGCACGGGGAGAGGATGGGGGTTAAACCTCAACCACACCCCTCATTTTATGGAGATTTTTTTTTTTAAAATGCCTTTGACTGAGGGTTTCCCACCAAGGAAAAGCTTGGCACTGTGCGACTGTCCCTCAATTCACCACACACACAGCAGCACAGGGAGTTTAAGCAGCCTGCGAAGTAGTGGGGGTTTTTTGTTTTTTTTTGGTTTTTTTGAAGTCACTTTCAGTCAGTTTCTCTGGAGACATTGCAGTTGCTTCGGAAGCAGCCAACTGCAGCATATTTTGCTTGGGCGGAAAACCCAACAAAACGAACCAAACTGATCAACCAAAACATTGTGATGTGCTCTGTGGCAGTAGGGGAGAGGTCGAGAGTATCCACTGGCGGCAGCCGCCGGGAGGGGAAGCGCGACCTCAATGCAGGTTTGGAAGGGACAGGCTCTCTCCTTCTCCGGGAGCATGTGAGCACAACTCTCCCCACAAGCTAAGAGCTATGGACAGAAGAAGGAAGTGTCACTGCGATGCTAAGGGCAGGGAGAGCCAAGCAGGGTCAACCCTGGCCTGACTGCTGCCCGCAGCGGCTCAGCAAGCCTACCCCTTTAGAGGGTCCCCTCTCTCCTGGAAATTCCAGCTGCTTGGCCTCAGGAAACCCAGGATGCTTCCCCTTCCCTGCCTCGCCCTGGGTGGGAGCAGGACAACAGGACAACCTTGCCTGCCGCACAGACCCTCTGCCTGCCCCACCACACTGTCCCTTTCCTGCCATGCCCCTGGCTCTCCTGCAAGCTGTGTCCGGGACCTGGGGCCGCTTTCGGGATGGGAGGGGTGGCGCTGGGCCATGCACTGGATGGGTGGACTGTTCAGTGGATGAGGAATTGGTTGGATGGTCACATCCAGAGGGTAGTGGTCAATGGCTCAATATCTAGATGGAGATCAGTGACGAGTGGTATCCCTCAGGGGTCCGTATTGGGACCAGTACTGTTCAATATCTTCATCAATGGCATGGACAGTGGGATCGAGTGCACCCTCAGCAAGTTTGAAGATGACACCAAGCTGAGTGGTGCGGTTGTCATGCCTGAAGGACAGGATGTCATCCAGAGGGACCTGAACAAGCTTGAGAAGTAGGCCCATGTGAACCTCATGAGGTTCAACAAGGCCAAGGGAAAGGTCCTGCACCTGGGTTAGGGCAACTCCCAGAATCAGTACAGGCTGGGGGATGAAGGGATTGAGATCAATCCTGCCGAGAAGGACTCGGGGGTACTGGTGGATGAAAAGCTGGACATGAGTCAACAATGTGCACTTGCAACTCAGAAGGCAAACCATATCCTGGGCTGCATCAAAAGAAGCGTGCCCAGCAGGTTGAGGGAGGTGATTCTACCCCTCTACTCCGCTCTGGTGGGACCTCACCTGGAGTACTGCGTCCAGCTCTGGAGCCCTCAGCACAGGAAAGACATGGACCTGTTGGAGCATGTCCAGAGGAGGACCACAAAAATGATCAGAGGGCCGGAGCATCTCTCCTATTAGGACAGGCTGAGAGTGTTGGGGTTGTTCAGCCTGGAGAAGAGAAGGCTTCAGGGAGACCTTATTGCAGCCTCTTAGTACTTAAAGAAGGCATATAAAAAAGAGGAGGCCTGTTTTTATAGGAGAAGGGGTAATGGTTTTAAACTAAAAGAGGGAAGATTCAGTCTAGATATAAGGAAGAAATTTTTTACAGTGAGGGTGGTGAAACACTGGAACAGATTGCCCAGAGAGGTGGTAGATGCCCCATCCCTGGAAACATTCAGGGTCAGGCTGGATGGGTCTCTGAGCAACCTGATCTAGTTGAAGAGGTCCCTGCTCATTGAAGGGGAGGCTGGACTAGATGACCTTTAAAGGTCCCTTCCAACCCAAACCATTCTATGATTCTAGTTCTACAGAACACTTCCAATGAAGCCACACATTATTTAAAGTGTATGTACACTGAAACTATTATGTGCTTCAATAAGTAAACATTTTACCTCAAGTGAATATTTTCGTTTGCAGGCTGTTATCTTGGAGACTGGAATAAGCCAATCATACATTTTTAAAATTATATAAAAGGGCATGAAAGCGCTGCTGTTTTAAATCCCTTGTAGATCGTCACCCAGTGCCATGTCCCATAGCAGCCTCTTGTTGAGAAATGAGGAGATGACAGATGAGGGCTTGGAGGTATTTTGCTCAAATTCACATTTGTTATGTTCCACGTGAGTCACTGTGCATCCAGTTCCTTCCTCTTGGCTATAAAAAGCCACTACAAAATGAGACTATAAAGCCTCAGACTCTCAAAAGTGTGTCTCAGGGACTCAGGAGAGGGAAAGCCGAGTGAAAATATTTTGAAAAAGAGGGAAAACTGGTTAGGAGGAGGAGGCATGACAAAGCCATGCTTTAGTCCCTCATTGTAAATTATCTCTTGGTGTTTAAGTTTTCAGAACATGTTTTCCAGGACTCAATTAAAAAATATTTCTACTTATATTTCCTCAGAAAAATGTCATGGTCCTTTATGTTCAAACATCCTATTTTTTTACAGGCTCCTAATTACTGTGTCATTCAGCCCATCATTGATTTTATGGCTGCATGACCCACATCTGTATTGTGGCAATTCTACATGAAATTTTGGAATGAACCAATTTTCATTTGCTTTCTTTTTTATTTCTGGTCTACCAATCTAGGGCCAAGACAGTAAATTTACATATAGAGTACCATAGAAGGGAATCTATTGATTTATGCAAGAATGCCAATCAATACTACAGTCATCAGTTTTCCACCCATCAACACTGTTTAAATGTAATACAGAAGTTATAATGTCCTCTTTTGGAACGAGCAAAACTGATTATTTGTGGAAGGAACATTCAGCACAGTGATACCACTACCTGAATTCTCAGACTTATGTAATCTGTATAGAAATCCTTGCTCCACCCTTTGCCATGATTTCCTGTTAAAATGTTGTGTTGCAGGATGTGCTAATTATCTGTTTCTACAGACTAGTTAAGAGTTAGTTATTGTACTAAAATGGCAAGATCCTATTGGAATCTTTTCAAGAGTGCAGGCAGGCCAGGCTGTCAGGATGCCACTCTGGGTTGCCTGGCTCTGGTCAGTAACCAGCACAAGCAGTAGCACATCATGGATTATTATTTTTTTTTTCAAATAAGTGAGGTAACAAGTTGCATAACACTGCACACACACTCCTGAAGGAGTGTGCCTTTCAACACAATACCTTAAAGGACCAAACAAGCACCTTTTGAATAGTAATTACAAGGAAAAATACGTTTAAGAGAATGAGAGCGCCCTTTCCATCATGAAAAACTTCCATGTGCTTCCTTATAAGAAACAAGGAAATACTTTTCCAGGAATAATTTGTCTGAGAAGAAAGCATCTTTTCCTGGCTACAAAAAGCTATGTTACCAGCTCCAGTACCTCTCTCTTATTCACTTATTGCATTCTAGATTACTTGGATTTTTGGTTTTAAGTCATTGTGACTCATTTTCTATGGGAATGGGATGATCAGAGTTGTAAATAATTTTAGTATGGAAAAATGAACCAACCATTTGATAGGTTTTTATACAGTATTAAAATAGAAATAACTAGGCTTTTGGGTAAAAATAAAAAGTTAACTGAGGTGAACTGCATCCTTGAAAACAAAGCAAGAAAATCACCCACAAAGTTAAGAGAAAAGGTGCCTTTACCACCAGGCTTTCTCAGATTAGCTTTACCATTTGCTGTGGCAAAGGTTGTCTCCTTGGTTGTCTCCCCTGTCCCTCTGTCTGAGGCAGAAGGAAATGTGTGCTCACATCTTACCCCCTCCCCAAATTACAGTCCTGTGTTTTAGCTCTAACTCACTTATATCATTAGTTTAAGCTAAAATGGCAGACTAAGATACATATATACTTTTCTGCAACCATCCCTGAGGTGGAGGAAGTAACCTCTGGTAAAGGCGCAGGATGAGCAATTGAGGGCAGTAATATTTTAAACCTTGATAGCGAGAATAGCTAAGGATTATCTTTCAGTGCCCCGCTGGCAGCAACACTGCTGGAGAAAGGCTAGCACAAAAAACAAACTGAGCTACTCAAAGATTTGTCAAATCCTTTTCAATATCAGGCTGCTTAAAGGATTGCTTTTTGTCTTTCTGGTCAGCAACTCACAGTGGTACTGCAGAGCATGCGGTGCTACCAAAGCAAGGCTGTTATTAAACAACAGGAGAGAAGCAATAAAAAGTGGGCAAGGAAAAGAAGTGAGGAATAAAAGTCCCACATTTGAAATATTATTTATATTGGGTCCAGGGGTGGGAGCAATATTATGTGGAGCCTACTTTCTGGCTT